TTAAGAAAAGCTAAGCCTTATTACAAGCTATCTGCAGCTTTTATCTCAGGACATTTCTGTGGCTCCATAAAGATTTCGTTTTCAAAACGTCAGTGGTTTGAAAAGTGTGTAGTTATTATAAATTGTTACCAAAGTTTCAAAAGAAAGTCCTCACATGTGTTTTTCCACAGCAAACATAATGATACAATGAATTTGTTTGATCAAATCTTGCAGTTGCTGACAGTAAAACCCTCTGCCAACATCCAGGCCCACAATGGTGATCAACCTTCCTTGACTAAATTATTTAATATTGTGAGCCGATATAACTGGCATGGTTGCTCAAGTTGTGTAACCGCATTGACGCTCAGTGACTCTTCTACAGCTGCGGCTAACATGGAGCCATACACCCAATGCCCCCCCCCCCCCCCAAGCTCTCCCCCTGGTGAGAGCTTGGCAGCCAAGTGAAAAAAGGAGGGAAGTCATCTGATGGGAAGAGGAGAAAAAGGAAACAGAGAGAGAGAAGCAGAAACAAGTGGCTGCTTGTGACACAGCAGTATTTAAATATTGGAACAATTACCTCATAATGTAAAGCAGCCCAATGTGTGTTCTTATGTACATGTTAACATAAATAACATTTTATTGGTTTTATGTGATGGATAACTTCTGAAACTTGGCTTGGATTTCAAAACAGATATAAGACAGATTTAACACTCTTGGACAGGTTTTCTTTTGGTTCAGGGTGAGGAGTGATTCTGAATTGGCTTTCTTTCTTTATTTAAAATGCCAAAAAAAGAGACTAACCTCGATTTAAATGTTTTGCAAGTGTGGCCCGATCTGAAAAATAATTGTATAAAGACAGTATTGGAAGATGTATTGTGATCTTTTTACAAATAGACTTTGCTATAATTACACTACAGCGTATGAAAACAGCCTGCAAAACTGGATGTTTAAATAGGCAGCTGTTTGCAACCAAGTTGGCCATAAACTTGTGTTAACTTGTGTCGATGTTGTGTTCACCACTTTTTTCCACTGCCCCATGGCCAAAAAAAGACATTATAGCAGGTTTAAGTAAAAGATAGTTCAGTGTAAAATACTCCTACAAATAAACACACATTACAAATAAAAGTTCCATATTCATTCTTTAACTTATGTAGAGGAATTATTAGCAGCAAAATGTACCTACAGTATCAAAAGTAAAGGTATTCTTTACTTCTCAAAATGACTCCTTTCGATATTATAGTTATTGGATTAATGCAATACTGTGTAAGCGAGCATTTTAATGTTGTAGTTGATGAAAGTGACACACATTGACTTGCAATACAACAGTGCATGATTACTTTAAGATGAACATGTGCTTTATGAATGTAAAATCTCCATCTGTCAAAAAGTATATCTATTCTGAAATATAATTCAGTAGAAGTTAAATGTAGTGGAAGCACTCAGGTAAAGTACAAGTACCTACAAATTATACAGTAGTAAAGCAAATGTATTTAATTAAATTCCACCACTGGATATTGATATGTACAAAAACAAAAACAAAAGAGAAACAAAATCAAAGCATACATTTCCATCACTACAGAGCAGAAATGATGTTTCCACTAGTTACATGCATGCTGTATTTTTTAGAATAAACTTACATCTTCACAGGAAGTTTAGGCAACAAAACCACTTAATTGTGTTAAGGAAAAGAGTGCGGGTGATGCTAACTTGACTGAATAACAACTCATGTTACTATCGAGGGACAAACAATTCAGAGTTACGTGACTAACAATTAACAAAATGTCAATTTTACTTTTAGTTTAAGATGTGACACGAACAGCGGCCTCCTAGATGATTGTCCTATGTTTGTTTGACCCTTCCACCTCCCACCTGTACTATATTGACCATCTCGCTCTTTATACTACATCAGTTGCTGAACGTAAAATGATAATTGTTGGGTTTACATATGAGTTGGCATCAGACACTGATACTGACCCAGTCGGTATTTGACGAGTTGGGAATGAGACCGGGTTGGTTACCGCCGCCCATGCTACCATTCAGTCACTGCACAGAGAACCACCAGAGAAGTGGAGCTCAGGCCACTATGCGTGGAACCATCTCTATAGGATCTGATGACAGAGAACCTTAATTACAAAACGCAACATGAAACATGTTCTTTTAGTTCCCTCCTAATCAGGAGGAAATGAGACTGTGACACACCAGCTGTGTGGCGCCAGAAATGCTCTGCTCACCTACGTACACATTTTGCTTTCCCATCCCACCCAGACCTTTCAACGCCCAAGTCACGTCATTGTTTCATCTCTGCCTGCAGGAGCGAAAAACGTAGTATCCCCGTGTCATCTTCAGAATTGTTTCCAAGTCTAATCACATGTTATAGTAGTGCAGATAATGAGGACCACATGTTTGGCGGTGGCTAATGTGAAAGAGACTACCCATGGTTGTTTGGCTTTGACCTTTTCCTGTCCAGCCGTACCGAGAAGTTTACACAAGAGACTCCCAAATGTGCTGACTGTTACTTTTTGGACGCCATCTTGTCCTCATACCTCTGATGGCCTGGGACCCATAGAGCTGCTGTATGTTAACAGGAATCGTACCACCCATCCAAGAGCTGGGAGCTCAGGCTGCGGGAACCAGCTGTGAATGCGATCATGGCCCTGAGACTTGGCTCTGACACAACAGAAGGAGTCTCTGGGTGGGACTCCTCTGAGCCACAAGACATTCAATATACAGTACCTCTATACAGCCCAGTACATTCTGTACTCCTAAATGTGCACATATACAGATCATACAGTATTAAGAAATATGCGAAATGGACACACATGTACAAACAGACTTACTAGCTCAACAACATTGCCAATACCGGAAAAGCGCTATTCATGGAGATGCCAATACTAATCTACAGAGCTGCTTATTTTGCAACAGAAACTCTAAAATACTGCATGTTTGAGGTTTAACCCAGGTTTGAATATTGATAAATGTCTACATTTTGAAAGTACTCAGTTTGAGAGTTTTTAAACGCAGAGATCTTGATTAACCTACCCGGCTGAATACAAGCATTACAGTCGTGGAGAGAAACAAGAATTTATTCACATTTTATTATACCAATTATCTTGAAGTTCTAAATTTATGTTTTAGAGGAAACATGGCTATAGCCAAAGTTTATCAGCCAGGTCTCTGTCTGGACAAGTCATCAGAAATGAAATTCTTCAGTCAAAAAAATATGCTTCCATTACATGCAAGAAGAACATGTCACGGTCATCAGCATTTTATTTAGCTTTTGGAGTTCAGCAAGATATGCAGACAGAAAAGGGAAAAAAGGAAAAGGAACGACGATCGATCCATCTAGCTATCTTGTCCTCCAAATATTTACAGTTTCATTATGTGGCTTAGATATCTGTTGATGGATTGGCAACACATGTTAAGCCAAATAACACTTTTTGTTGATTGTACTGGTTTCTTTTACACCTCCATCATGAATGCACACTGTACCCTGCAGCAATCTTGTTGTAACATTAAAATTGCTATAATTGCGGAACTACATTGGCTTCGATACTCTCAAAGTATCTCACAGATGCTGCCATAGGTGGTTGCAGCACTTACAGTAAACTCATAGTGTGTGTCAGGAGTCTCTTTGCCCTTCACACTGGGGCCACATATGTTTATAATGTCACTCTGTGCACCAGGGCCTATGGCCGTCTTACGTAACAGTTCCTTAGATCTCCAGAGGATTGGAGGCAGGGGCAGAGAGGATGTGCCATGGGTAAGCTGGGACTTTAGAATATACAACGGAGGCCCACCATGTACTCTGTTGACTTCTCTGCAGGGTTTGAAAGATCGGCAGACGGGGCAGAGGAGAGAAAGAGGGAGACAGAGAGAAAGAAAACAGCTTGAGTTGTACCAGCTGTAATAACTCCAGTGATGAAGAGGACCAGAACAGCATCTGCACCATATCGCTCCACTCCCAGCCTTGCCATCTTTCAAAGTTCGTCCGGACGGCTGAGAAAACGTTTAAGAGAGACCACACATTCTCCCTCTGCTCATCACAAATGTATGTCCCTGCTCCTCTGAGACGAGAGCTATGCTCTGGTGTCTCTGCTCTGCTTCAGCATTGGAAGTGATGAGAGAATCATGCTCACACAATTTGTAGCATCTGCAGAAGTGTGTAATCGTGGGGAGGGTGAACATCAGCTGACTTGGTTTCTTAACTTCTTAGTTACAGATGTTTTTAACACCACGTTAAACACTGTCAAATATAAAATAATTATAATAAATGTGTCTGCAGAATAAATAGTATGTTGAAAAGAAAGAAAGCAAAGAGGAGAGTAATAAATAAAAGAAGTCAAGGTGGAGAATGCAAAGAATGACTTGGCATGCATTATTTGTATGACCCTTTTACATTTAATGGTCTTGCATCAAATGTACATATAAGAAGACAACAGTGTGTGTGAGGGAAGAGTTCAGGCCATTAAAGAGCTCACGGTTGTGCTTGACAACATTTTTTAACTTATGAACGTTAACTTTCATTTGTGTAATTGAAGCCTGATGAAGAGACCATGACACAGACATAATTAAATGGGGTTCATGCCAGAATGAATCAGAGTTAATAGTTAGGCTGCAAGTCATTGGACAATGAATGTGGTGTAAAATATTTTTTATATTTTAAGATTGTGTTTCATTCACTGTCTCTATTGAGAACAAATGCACATCTGATCTTTTTCAAGTGTTTTACCTAAGTTGTTTTATCTTTACTGTCTTGCATTCCTCATAGGAATCACTTTAGTTCTCCATCTATCTAAAACACGTTACTCTGGATAATGATCTGCAGGTTAATTGTCTGGAGTTTTGCTGTATACCTCATCCTCCCAAGGGAGCGGAGGGAGTTTTTCATAAATAATGTGGCTACCGGGAGCCATTATAGAGCTGTGCATGGTGATGGGCTGAGGGGAGGGGGAGTGGTCTTAACCATGTAAGGCTACAATAAAAGGCACTTGTCTGGACCTCTGACGAGCCCAAACTTTCCAGTAGCACCACAGGCGGCTGCTGCACAAAGACAGACAGAAAGAAGAACAGCCAGATGAATAAAAATTTAAACAGAACAAAAGTTGTTCAAGCTAACTTTTGATTCTACTAAAATATTTAAAGATTAGATAACTTCTGTAGTTTAAATTTTGTAACTACAATTTATTTGGAAAAAAAGAGAAAATGACGAGTCTGCTGTGCATCACAATATTCTCCCTGACCCTGGCTGGCAGTGCATTCAGCCAGTTGATGAGCTATCCCCCATTACCAACAGGTAAGATACAAATTCATGTCAAAAGGTTTGATATTCAGGTATGTAGGTGATTGTCTTTTTCTGTTACCATTTTTTAGTGAATGTATGTGTGTTGATGTGCAAGAATATTACTCTGCATGAAGAAAGATAAGAACTGGAGGATGAGCGGCGTAAGGGACCTGAGCAAAGTGGTACCACAGCTCAGGCTTGTGTAACAACGGGGTCTTTGTAGCAGTAGGTAACAGAGGCGTCTCTGGGGTAACACACACACACACACACACACACACGCACACACAGTGTGACTCACCATTGACTGACTGACTTCCTGCATACAGACCACCACAGTATGAACTGGCTGGTGAAAACTGTTAATCACCCTACATTCACAGAGGCTCACCACCCACGCTACTGAATGAAAACCGCACCACTAATACTATTGGCTGTACTCTTAAATTGGGTCGTAAGTGCCTCAGTGGCTGAAACTGGGCTAGTAGTGCTTGTCCCTTTATGGATGCAAAAATAGTCAGGAATTTCCCACGGTAGAGTTTACACCTTTTGTAATTGTTCTGCCATTTTATCAGTTGTTTGTCTTCTTCTTTCTGTGGCAGACAGAAAGCAACAACCTATAGAAAGGCGTTTTATCAGAGATCCCTGCACTCCATCACGATGCTGTTATAATTCAAATTCACACCTGCCAACAGGATGACACACTGAAATGGTTGCTGCAACTGCAAGCTATGAAATACCAGAATAGATCTACTGCTGGAAAAAAAAAAAAAAGCGACAGCAGAAGGCTCTCATGTGTTATATGAGTGATATTTAAAGTGCTTTCAGTAGCCCTGCTAGCTGACTCAGTAGATGTCAAATTATGGGTGGGTCAGCTCTCTCTCTTCCAAGATGCGAGGAAATGGTTTGTCTCTGGGGAGAATAGTTTCACTCTGCTGATGCTGCTTAAGTCAAACATTGGAATTGCTCCCACTAGCCAGTGACGTCACAGGTGTGTGTCTGCGTATGTGTCTGTACACTACATGTACATGTTTATACATGACCTCACTGTCTGCATTACGTAAAAGCATTGGCTAGGCTCAGGCCAGCCATCGAACTGTACAGTATATCTTTTATTGGCCATATGAGCAATGTATTCTGTCTGTTCACTTCCTTATACCTACTGACTCACTCTGGCACTGGGAGCTTTTGGAAGTCCGCCACGGTAACAGGCAGCGTGACAGAAGAAAAGTTAAGATTAATGACCCGAGCTAAACGTATAGAGCCCCATGCTGAACAGCAGCCAAATGACTCTCTCTTTCCCTGTGAGGTAATAGTCTGTTAAGTCTAATGCTCACTGTAGTTGTTGGTTACTGAGGCTTGGCCCCGTTGCTAGGGCTGGGTGGGAAAAAGAGCTCGAGTGGAAAATGGGGCCGGGGGCCGAGTTTAAAATGTGTTTAGGCTAGGAGATGAGATGCTGATGGAGCCAAATTGTGTGCTTTTGCATTTGTGTTAATTCACAAATGACTCTGATGACAGTTTACTATACATGTGTGCTGAGGATGTGTGTTTGCCCATGTGAGCGATTCACACCCACACACTGTCTTTGTGCGTGCATGAGAGCAGCAAAGACTTTATTGGAATTACTTTATAGGAGTTGGCCTTCTGTGTTTGTCCCAGCTGTGCTTGTTAATTATGTCTCCATACTGACACTAGCAGGCCAGCAGCAGAGTACAAAGTGTGCGGTACTGCAAAGCATCTCATATCTAGCTGCTTTGTCAGAGGGTGTGGCACATTGTGGCACACTGAAATAAACATGCAGTGAATGCTCACTGATGATGTCCATCCCTTCATACAGGAGGGATTTGAACCCATTAAACATTTTGTTCATTCAATAATGTAAAGCGCAAATTATGCTAAGGGCTTTAACAGCATAATTACACTGTTGTAGTTTCTGAATATATAAGTCAGAGACAGGGAGAGAGAGAGAGAGAGAGAGAGAGAGAGAGAGAGAGAGAGAGAGGCAGAGTGACAGAGAGACAGGGAGAGAGAAAGAGAGAGAGAGAGAGAACTGCTCAATCATAAACTGGCAGTGGGTCTTGGCTGCAGCTGCGGGGCTTTTTTATTGTCATGCACATGTATTCATTTACTTTGCTGTTTTATAATTCCCAGCTGCACTCCACAAAGATGTCAGATAGAAACAGTAACTGAATTATTTGTCAACCCAACTTATATTAAATGTGACAATTTGGCTCAACCTTTGACCTCAGAGAGACTTATATAAATAGGATGTGGGTGAGGTGCAACAAAGAACAGACAGGCTTCCCTCTTTTCCTGAAAGTCTACGTAAACACAACAGGCTGTTGCTTTATGAGTGTAGTGTACCCCACATGGTCGGGGCCACATTCTCCCGTGGGACATGTCTGCTGGTAACTGCAGGAGCTGGAAAGAGTGTGGAGTTACTTTGCCTGTCTCTCTGTCTGCTACTACTGTCTTGCAGCAACCCTCAAGGTTGCTCCAGTAAGAGTTCTTTATTTTTATTATTGTATTAGGTTAGTATGTATTCAGTAATCCATACCAAGCTTTTCTGAGCATAATGTTGAACACTGGGATGTTCAACATTATGCTCGTCATGCAACTGCTACCATGCAGTGAATTTATGAGGCATGATGATGCTGTGAGTCATTCCTCACTGACAGAACTGGCACACAGACTCTAGTCCAAACTGCTATAAACTTTGCTTTCAAAGATATTAGTAAGTATTAGCATTAGCATATAGGGTGTTTCCTAGCTCGTAGAAAACCTGGCATCTTGTTAACCAGCGAGAGGCGAGTGAGGCTACTGGGTGTGGTGATTGGGTAATAGAATAAGTCTCTGGCACATGAAAAGGTTTGCATCCTAATGAATAAAATGAAGAAAAAAAAATGGAAGGGAGAGTGGCACGAGGTTGGACTGAAGGGTAGATTAGGTCTGTCACCGGTGCTTCTGGTAATTAAATCCTTCTGCAGGAGAGCTCAATACCAATGATCTGAGCACCACTGAACAAAGTCCAGACACGCGTCTACTGTGTGGATAGAATGGAGGATTGGGGTAGTTTAGGCATGGGGTGGATTAGAAGTCATTTCAGTGGGTTGATCAATGCCAGTGGCTTCTATTGTTTCCTGTATTGCCCATGTGGGATACGTTTTCCCCTATCGAGGAGCCAGTGATACAGTATTCCAGTCAGGGCTCTAGTGTTGCTGCTCAAAATGAGGGGCCTCAACACAAATGGTGGCATCCTCAGTAAGAAAGGAGAGACAGACTGGTTTAGACACAGCTCATTCAGATTGAGTAAGTGGGAAGAAAATTAATCAGAAACAGAGCATGGACGTTTTTTGTTTTTTTACATTCAGCACTGAACCAGGACTCTGTCAAAAACAGCATAGTTAGATTAATAGTTATGCCTGCAGAATACTTAAAGCCAAAATGCCAGTTGATTTACTCAGTTACGTAATTACCATATTATCTTACAAGTCCCATGCGTTGCAGAGTTTGACTCCACTTACAAGGTTAATTGTTCAAGGCTTTACCGGTGGTGGTGGGAGTCAGAGCAGGGGTTGTGTACATCCATCCATCTGGTGCTTATTATTGCCTGGCACAGGCGGCCCCTTGCTGGTTGGGGTCCTCTTAACTAAGCAAGCACTGTGAGGTCTGAACATGGAGGTCAGGGAGATTGTGGGAACCCACGGTGAGACACAAATGATCCGCCATTGTGAGTTAAAGGGTGGCCTAGTTTGGACAGGAGTGCAGAGAGGAAAAAAAAAAAAATGATGGCAGCTAGATTCTGTGTCTAGATAACTTTAACTATGTTATCTGTTGACCTTTCCTGTTATTCACATGGTACCTGACATACTATTAACAACACATACATATGCAGATGGAGCGGATGAAAGATTGCTACAGATTAAGATTATATTTTGAGGGTTAATGCTGAAAGTGTTAGGACTAACAAGAGCAGTAAGGAGACTGATTGGCTCCAGAGGCTGAAGATTGGCTGGTGTCCAATACTGTATCTAATAAACCAAACAGGATACACCCAAACTCTTTGATAGTTTTGTGTGAGAAAGCTGTTGTGTGTATGCCCGTGTTGTACAATACATACAAAACACACGTGCCAAAAAATGCTGTGAAAAGGGGAATTTTCCCCCTTTTTTCGTGTTTTCTCATACTGACTGTATCACTTTCATGCCAAGCAAGTCAAGGCAAGCATTCCTGGATGCAATCTTTGGAATCACTGTGTAAAATATAGCTCTAACATAAAATAAACATTACATAACATTTTACGATATAAATGCAAGTATCATAAGATTAATCACCAAACCCGAATAAGGTTCTATACTTTTTTCTTCTTTTCCAGTTATGGTTTTGGCAGACCTAGGTACCAACGTCACCCTGCCCTGCCGGCTCCCTGCTAAAGATGCCTTGGCCTTTGGTAACATTGGCATCCGAGTCAAATGGACCAAAGTGGCAGAAGATGAAGCACTGAATGAGGATGTGCTACTTTCAATGGGATTGCACAAGAAGACCTACGGAAGCTTCGCAGGCCGTGTATTTTTGACGGATGAAGTTGAAGATGCCACCATAACAATCACAGATGTCTCCACAGATGACTCCGGAAAATACCGCTGTGAGATCATCAACGGCATGGTAGACTTCATGGAAGAGGTTACCTTGGATGTGCAAGGTGGTCTCACTGATGGTAAATCCTGTTTGTATATCTATTTAGAAACTCAGCCTAGGGTTGGACCTTAAAAAAAAGTATACCAAAGCATACCAGCTGTGATAACATTAGGAGCTCTATCACCACCAGTCACTTTACATGTATCCCTTTATTGTTAAAAATACATGTAGTTCAAGATTAATCATCTTTCTCAACATTTTTTTTCTAGTTATTGAAAACATCCACATTTCCTTTTCTTGTGGAAAAAGAAAAAGAAAAGATCAGACAGCTTGTTGTGATTCATCCAAACCGCTGTAATGATTCAGCCATGATCACATTTGAACACTGTTCAACATCAGTAAACAGAAACACATTTCGCTTTTTTTCTCCAGTCCATATCCTATTACATTGACTGACTTTTCAGATTTTATAAATCACTAAATCATCTTCCTTTGAAAATATGGCATACAAAGAGTCTTCAAACTGCTTTTCATGCATGTTTGGGTTATTGATATATTCAAACATAGATCCCTGGAACCTTGCACGGTGACACACTAAATCACTGCAGTGGGTTAAAATTCCTCTGCGGAAAAGGGTGGCTCCCACCCATCTTTTGTTGCTAGCTTTTCACGGGTGAAGAATCACACAAATATTAACAATGTGTTACTTTGATACAGCTGCTAGAATTTGCCAAATCGTTTGGTAATCATGAAATACAGTTTAGAATTTATGAAATGAGGTAAAACTTGGTATAAGGAAGGCAGAGAATTTCTGCAATTAAGTCTTTATAATATTTCTCTTGATTTGGATTCACTTTTGAGTAATTCTTTTACTACTTTTTGTTGGATCCATGGAGTTAGAGCAGTTTAGAGTAGCCTGCTTTAATGTTTAGTGCAGCAGATCAGTTTGCAAAATATGATTATTTCTTCCATGCAGAGAGGTAAACAAGCACAAAATTAATGAGTTAGCAATGTCTGGCCTCTGTGGGCATTGTCTCAGCTGATGGACATTCATCATACAACTAAGTGCAGACTGATTGTTGACATATTGTCATACTCATTTTATCTCTTCTTCCTCGCTCAGGTGTTGTGTTCCCATACTCCCCCAGTACGGGCCGCTACAACCTGAACTTCGACAATGCTACACAGGCTTGTCTGGAACAGAATGCTTCCGTCGCCACCTTAGATCAACTGCATCAGGCCTGGAAGGGCGGCCTGGACTGGTGCAATGCTGGCTGGCTGAGTGATGGCACAGTGCATTATCCCATCACCAGAGCCAGAGGGCCTTGCGGTGGCAACAAAGGGCCTGGCCTCATAAGCTATGGAAGTCGCAACAAACAGAAGAGCCGCTTTGACGTTTTCTGCTTTGCTTCTGCACTCAAGGGTGGGTTACTTTTATTTGTATATCCATTTTCTTGATTCACCATTATTTTCATTTATTATTCTTGCAACAGAAAACACATTGCAATTTATGGTTTTGGTAGACCAACCTGTAAAAAGAGTAGGAAATATATTATTTTTTCTGACCATCTGTTTTGTGCTCCCTGCTCAGGACATTTCTATTGGCTGGTCCAGCCCGACAGGCTGACCTTTGACGAGGCTGTGCAGGGATGCCTAGACGATGGGGCAGAGATTGCCAGGGTGGGCCACATATACTCCGCCTGGAAGCTCGAGGGCTTTGATCGCTGCGACGCTGGCTGGTTGGCTGACGGTAGTGTCCGCTACCCCATCTCCAGGCCCCGCAAGAACTGTAGCCCCACAGAAGCTGCAGTGCGCTTTGTTGGATTCCCAGACAAGATGCAAAAGTCTTACGGCGTCTACTGCTACAAAGATGAGTAGTGAGGCGGTAGGTAGGAGTAGGGAAGCCATAACCACCAAAGAGAAGCAACAACGACAACCAATAAAATCAACAATAAAGCCAACAACCTTTGGATCTTAACCAGCATGAGCTCGATACCTTTCTGAAACTGTGATAACACTCTTTTAACTGCTAAAGAAACAAATACCGTACGTCTTACTTCCATATGTAATGAATGAAAAAATATTTTGTAGCCAGTAAAATTTCTTTTTTTCTAACTTTAATTGTAGACAGACTGTTGAATAAAAGGCAATAGTGCTAATGTATGAGTGATGTGATAGATACAAGAACTTGATGGTTGTGAAACATGATCTAAGTTAGGTTTGTCCTCCACAGAGCGATTAGATGTGTGAAGATTAAGAGCATTCAACCTCATGTGCAGATAATATTTGCAACTTTAGGACCAGAGGGATGTGATATGTTACCCATTTACCAAGCATCCCATCAGTGAAAGATCTTAGATTGATAAGAGTCATGAACATGACTACCACTGTTGAGCTGTGGCTACATACGTACATGTTATATTATGTATTCAACGGGGTCCCTCTCTAATCAGAGTTAAAGCTCTTTTTCCCACGTTTTTCAACCTGAGGAGTAGTGATCAACATGACTGAATGTAAATGTCTCGATGGACTGTGACATATTCTGCATTGATAGCTCCTGTTAGACCAAACCCCCATTACACTTTCATATACAGTCTTAGTAATGTATGTGGTATGTTTGTTTTAACAAAATGTTTTTTTTTTTTTACATGTTTATAATTTTTTAAAGTCAAAAACAGATTCTGTCAGATTTTTTTGTGAAGTGTAGTTTTTAGAAAATACAAAACGACAAGATTTCCGCCAGACAATGCAGAAGACGTATACATCTTCCCCTTTTGCCCTGAACACAACCTTTTAACAAAAAGATTCCCTGATTGTCTAAGAGTTGTAGCAATTCCCCATGGTAGCTACAATTACAACTAACAAATGCTGAAATCCACCTTGACTGAGAAGACAGTTTCACAAATTCTCACTGAGGTTTTGAGCTATTAAAAAGGCACATTTCCACTCGGACTCTACTGTTTTAAAGGCCTGAGTAATACTGACGATCACTCATAAAGAACGATTAATTGATAGTCATGCTCTAGGGATTAGATCTGAATAAATGTTTGAGAATAAAGAATCAAAACCAACAAAAAAAAGAAATCATAAAAGTGTCCAACGGACCACAGAGAGCATGTTTTGGACATACAGAGCTGGTAAACTGGTTTGCCAGATGATAGCACCCTTTTTTTGGTACTGATTTGATATTTTATGGTTTACTTTTTCTGACCCTGGGCACTGACATATGGTACTTACTGTAGGTTACATGTGGTCATATGGTGATACATTGTTTGTAAAAGCAAAACTTAAAAATATCTCACACTTGCGCATATGTATACACACAAAGAGGTGAAGGTATTTTTGTATCTTATCGGCATGTACCTTTTTCAACAAAGCAGTTTGAAATAAAGAATACGACTTTTAAATCAATTTGTGTAACCATCCCTTTTTTCGACAATGAACATTTGTTTTCCACATTAACCCAATCAACATGCATTATGTGAAGATATAGAGGTTTACGCAGAGATTTAAACAGTATTGTTAAAGCTGCCAGATTAGGGGCCATGTATCTGGCATGAACCCATGTCGGGGCGAGGATTTAAGATTAGACTCTCCTCACATTTATTTATTCTTTGGCATTTTTTTATTCAGTGCCGGCTGCCAGCACACAACTAAGGAAAACAAAAGGGAACAGTTTCACAGTTCTTGTGCAAATGCATGGGAATGGGGTCAGATTTAAGTTGATACAGCAGTGAAATGTAAATGTGTGTGATAAAAGGTCCATTGAAGCAAGCTTTTTGTTCTGTGGATGCTGAGGCAGATTGTAACAGAAGAAACAAAGAGATTGTGCAGAATCTTTCACACTTTTTCAGCATTAAAACAAGTCTAATAATTTTGTTTAATTCTCAATTAAAACCTGAGGAGTAAACTATACTATTACACACTTGAGGTAAATGCACAAAACATTTGTTTCTGCACAAAGTGAGCTTTTCTTTGTTTGTTTATGTTGGAAGCAGACAGTTCAATTCATGAGCAATTGTGAATTGTGGCTCTTGTGGACAACCACCACCTGATTGCTGACTGATTTTGCAGGAGTAATGCTGGACATTTCATTTGGTTGCTAGTATGGTTTCAAACAACGAAATGTTGTGCTGACTTTCAGCAGATCTGATAATGCTACATCCCAAACACTTGGCGCTCACAGTCATCCAGATTAAGTAATAGCAGAGTAATGGATAGTCTGCATCGGACAGATCTATAAGGAGTCTGAAACGCCTGTCAAACCCAAGAACTCAGGAGGAGCCAGATTGGGTTTCCTTACCAAAACAAACCAAGGAAGCCTGTTAAATCCCAGAGAGAACTGGAACGAGAGGTTCCAGGTTTTTCCGCTGATCACCCATGAGACATCTGCAATTCATGAGGCAATAATATATGTTTTACTCTTGCTGGGGCACCTAGGAGCTGCCTTTAATCACTTGTCGAGTCTACTCTAATGTCGGAGTGGGCACCACAGTGGAAACCACAGCAACCCAAACTTATACAAACATTACATCGACTAAATCAATGTTATTACCTTGGTAACGATGCTTTTTGCCATTAGGCAGTGTCAATGACAACTTCAAGTCACTGCTGTGTTAAGTGCCACTCTGGGAATAGTGATGCATTGTAATGTACTCCAAAAGCTTGTATTTACACCAAGGGAATTCATTCCCTTATGCATCGTCATGTAGGCATAACACGTATTTGACATTCAAGACGAGCCAACTACAGTCATGCTTTTGACAAAACAAAACCTGTAGTTTGATGTACTTTTGCAGGTCCACAGTTCTGCACTGTCAGCCATTTCAGTATAAGTGCTCACTTTTCCCTCAAGTTCTTACACGTAATGTTTTACTATAATTCACATTCACTCCTGAATGTCTTGTCTATCCACCAAGAAGCTGCTGGGTTTATCATTAGTTTTTGATGTATATGCAAGACACTGCAATACTTTGAAAATGGGACATTGGTATGATGATGTTCTACAGAGCATGATTGTGAGAATTCAGAATAAATCCCTTACATGATGTTTTGATGAGTTGTGTTGGTGCTTTATGGCTTAGTGTGATAGCACAACCTGCTGGTAAAACCACCGCACTACTTGCTCTATAAAACCAATTACCTCAGTGATACTGTGGTTCTCAAACTTTTTTCAGACATTTCCGACTTTTTGGGGAAGAAGGTCATAATGAAAAAAAAAAACTATTCTCTTATAATAAAATGCCTCTTCAATGATAAACTAAATCCTATTTGATAAGGAAATGTGTATAATAAGGGCTTCAATGAAAATAAACAATACAAAAAATAAAGCCTGCAGTCATTAGGCAAGCACAAACTCTTGCACACATAGCAGTCATGTCTGCCTTGATGCAGGTAACCTAGAGGAAAAGAGTTCTTTGATAGTCACTCCAATTTCAAAATGCCGAGAATCAAGCCAAATCCAAAGACAGCAAAGGAATCTCAAAAGACCAGCTTTTCAGGCAGAATATGCAAAAAAAAAAAGAGGCCTGCATTAAGTCAAGGAAGGATCAAAATGCCCTGAGTGTGCAGTTCCTGACCTCTCTTAAGCCCTAAAGAAAGGGCGTTGCCAAATCCTGATTGGCCAAGAGGGGAAATGCACCAAGCTGCTCTCAATATTTATATAGGAGCCAATCATCACACCCTGCGCAACAAGTGATTTGAATAACTCTCCAATTAACTCAGGGAATGGAGACATTCAGCTAAAATAAATTGGGAAAAGGGTAATGACAGTACCAGAGAATGAGGCACTGCTACAACGTGTCTGGGGTGTAATGTTTCTAAGTGTCTTTTTAATTTGTTAGGTCTCATAATATCAGCTGCCAGAGTTTTCAGACATAAAATATTCCCTGGTCTCTCCTCATCTCCCAACGCATTCATTGTGAACCCAGGAGCAAGATAGGCTTCGTCATATGTTCTTCTTGACTTGTTGTTTGGTTGATTACTGTCACTTCAGCACATTGTCTTGTTTTTTTTTTCATTTCATCCCTACTGACTCTCTGAATGAACACCATTGCTATTGTGAAAACACAATCTGTTAACTGTTCCACCATGAAAAAAGATTCGGACGTCAAAACATTAGTTCTGCGTCACATTTCCTCCCACTCTCGTGCACCTGTCTTGCCTCTGATCACAAACTTTGAGAACTAGTTATGTAAGAGTACCCTCCAATTTCATTCATTCAACCTCTTTATCTCTCTATTCCAATACTGAATCCAGAAACTGTTAAATGGTTACTGTTCCAAAAACACACTATAAAACAGACGATTGGAAGCGATAAGAGGCAACCATAACTTCTGGAGTAAAGCTATAAAACAATTGGGGAACGTGCACAGCACTCAAACAACAGACAGTGTTCCCAACACATTTCCTTAAAAAGTCCAAATTAAGTTAAAGTTTGTTTTATAATATCCATATATTTATTTTATTTCTTTGGTGATTTAAAGAAAAAAAACAAGTTTGATCTCTTTAAAAAAATTCACAAGCATCCCAGACATTCACATTGTAAAATAAAAAGTTATAAATATAAAATTATATTATATGCACACTAAAGCGCACACATAGACATTCACAGGCAGAAAAAACAAACACATTTTTCCATTAAAAAACTGCTGGAGACACACATAACCATCCACATGTACAAAGATTTAGTTAATGTTACAGAACATTATTGCAGCCCTCCATATTCTTTGGTCAACTTCTGTCGTTAAAGATGTCAAAAGGCAAATAAATCCATTGTATATTTCAGCAACTTTTCATCTTCAATGCATTCCATTTAGACAGTCTGTGATTGTGGCTGGTTTCCTGTTGAACATAAAATACAAGTACATGTGGAGCACTCCAGGGACAGATGGCAGCATCATATTTCACCTGCAAGTATAGAACAAGTAAGGAGACAAGAGCAGCTTGAAAATAAATTATATGCATCTGTGCCTAAACAGCCGTTATGTTCAAGTCTTTTTGAGGGTTTCACAAAATGCATTCTCTCAAAGGCTGATTTCAGTTGACCACAATAACAGAGTTAAGTGTCCAGAATAAAAAGCTTTCCCTAGAAAACCATCACAGACTACAGCACAACAGCAACAGATGATAGCAGGACTCTTGTGGTGTGTAATTATGAACAGCATTACAGTTATTGTAAACATGCTGTAGCAACTAATTGTAAGTTATGCACTTAACACACATAGTAAAATGAATGGCTAATTGAGCCACATCTCTCTGCTTTCATTTGAAAATAGTAATGGAAATTGATTTCCATCAGTGGATAAAGGCTTTGTTGGTAAGTACTTAGAGAGCAAACTCTCATATGAAATTGCAAAAAATCACACAAAAGAAATATCAATACGCTTAAAAAATCTCTGTATAGAAATCTATACATGAAAATGTATCTTGACAAAACATCAATGACATCCATTGGCAGGTGGTGATTTGGTAAGATTTGGTATAGTTTCCTCAGACAAAGCTAAGAAACCATAATGATTAGGTGTGAAGACTGGAGAAAGATTATTCACAAAGGTTTACAGTTCTGTAAGTGTGTGATGTATCTACTAATGTACACTATGAGTCCTTTGTATGATCATTCATTGTCACTGATGCCTCCATTTGTGTTCTGATAACTTGGATGTCTTGCCATAGAATAAACATGGTTAAATTTGAGGACTTCATATATATGCATATGCATGCATGCTCATTAAAATGAAGTCCAGCTTAAAACAGCACGACAACATAATGGATTCCTTTACATAATGTAAGCACTATATTTTCACAACAGCTTTTTTCTATGATTAAGGAACACTTATGGTGATTTTAAATAGCACAGTCGGTGTACAGAAGTATTGGACAGTCATGGGTGTATTATTATTATTATACGCTAAGGACAAAGAAAAAACATTCGCAGTTTAAAAAAGAATGATGAGTGTACTTTTTGCTTTTCCAGTAGCAAGCTGAAAGTATTTTATCCACATCGGCATTGTGCCCCTTGATAAGAAAAGTCATGAATCAACATCTTTTTAAAAAGGCACTTCAGTCCATCCTAATCCAAAATGTAAGAAAACTACAGGTTGTTCTCTTGGTTTCTATGATGAGTTTCCTCTTGTGCTTTTTCTTGGGGAATCCTTTTCCTCTTTCCACACAAGCATCAGCTATGTGTTCTCGTCTCGGGTAAGCTGTGCCACGTTTACATAGCAATTACTGTCTCTTCAGCGTATTTTCAGTCCTGTCTCTTCTTCCCCGGTAGCGCTTCTGGTATAAGCGGAAGGCCTCGTCTGGCCATCTCTTGAAGTTGTTGATGCTGTAGAGACTATTGTGTTGATGTCTTCTAATATAGGTCCTCTGATAGCGCGATGCTGTTAGACAAAAATCATGTATTAGCT